TATTGCAAACATAAAAGTGAATTAGCAACAGATGAAACTTTGTAATAATAATAATAGTAATAATAATAATAATAATAATAATAATAACAACAACAACAACAATAATGACCGTTTTTATACTAGAGGACGCATTATCCGTCCAGACGGATAATGCGTCTCTTGTGGTATGCGTCTAGTGTAAAGACGGGACGAATAACAAGACGAACTACGAAAGACGAACGAGATATTCCGCGCGGCGAAAAAAAAAAGAATGGGCACTAGTGTGCCTTGTTTGGCGGTAAAATATAAAGATGGCGGCCGCGCCTGTAACCCCAGGTGGAGACTTCAGGTCAATGAACTCAATCTGATTCGAAATGGAGATGCCCAAGCTGATGATGGAAATACAACAAGAGAAGCCGTTGCCAATTGGTTGTGGGATATCAGAGAGGAAAGAAATGCAGCCCCTTGATTCTGTATTCAAATTAATAACAAAGGCAAAAACTGAGAAACTGAACTTTACTTGATCCTTAGCAGATTTGATGGAAAACAGGTTTTGTTACATGTAAATGGATTCAAATTTGATATTCAAAATATTTTTCAAACATTTTCCCTTCACAATAGATAAAGGAAATAATATTTGTTGATACATTAAGTATGAACCAGAAGTTTTGCTTTCCTTTCATCCATTAGTGTAAAAAATACTGCTATTTAAAGTTATTTTAAGTAATCTGGAAGTAAAATGCTCTATGCTAAAGCAACCAAACAACTAGATAAACTGGTAAAAAGGGGGGGAGTAGGACAAAATCATAGGGAGGGGGGTCAGGTTTATTTTTTTATATGAAAGGGTATGGATTATTCTTGAAGGCAGTATAAAATGACATGTATTAAGGCAAAAATAGGAGGACAAACAACAACAACAAAAATGAACATGAAGTTCTTATATCAACTAAACAAAAACAGCACAAAAGAAATACTTAATTGTCATTCTCAAAAACCGAGGTTGGTTAAAAGCTTGAGACTGCTTAACAGTCTGATACGAATTATTGGCTTAAAATATTATGATGAAAGACTTGAACTGGTATTTTTACCTACTTGACATACGTTTTTACATCATTTCAAGTCTTTCAATGGTATTTCCAACCAATTCATGACAGTCCAAAGCAAAACAGCCTTGGTTTCAAAGAATAACAAGTATTTTTGCTGCTGTTTTCTTGTTTATTTGTTGTTGGAACTTCTTGTTAACCTCATCCTCATAGAGGGCATATTGGGGCGGGGGGTGGGGGGGGGAGTCATAGCCTAAAAAATAACATTTATTTGAGGGGTGAGTAAAAAAGTAAATGAAAAATTTTCAGGGGTGGGTCAAGAATAAAACTTATTGCTTAAAAAAATCCCCCCCCCCCACCCTTTACATAAATAATGACCATTCCCTATCCAATACATCCAATTCTATAGAGGTGTTATAAAGTTGTAGTTCCGTTAAACTTTGTAACAATGGTTTGTTTCAATTACAGAACAGTAATGATGTTAGTGTCTGGATCACTGGTTACATTTTGGTACCTTTATCACAACTGACAATAAATGGATTACAAGTAAACACAACTGCCTGTAATAACATGTCTGAGGTTTCAAAACGCAAGAGGGAAGCTCATGCCCCCTTAAATTCACAGTATTGCTCAATAAAGATAAGTGTGATAGAGGACCCTGTCTATAGAAAAGAAAAGTCCACCACCAACTCCTCCATAAACATGAGTCCCCCACCCTTAATGGAACTCTTGCTAATACCAACGCATGGATCTTTGATCATTCTGGCTATCCATGTCTAAAATGTGGCTATCTTGGCTACCACTTGCCACTTGATTGGTTGGAGGGGTATGGCTATATGGCATTGGATTGTAATAAGGTACAAGAGGCTGCACAGGCATTGTTTGTTGTTGGAGATGCTGCTGTGCTCCTTGGGGTGGAGGATTTGAATATTTCATGATGATTTGAAGCATCTTTAGCTCATGCTGCCTATTTAATTCGGCTTGCTCTTTCTGAAAAGCAAGAAATTCAGCATGCCTTTCTTTGTCTGCTTCCATCATCTTTTCACAACGCTTTTTCTGTGATTCTCCAAGTGCGTGAAAACTCTTTGCGATCTCATTTATGGCCTGGGACTGACTTCTTACTCGTTTGTTACGATCTAATGGTTTTACGTCCAATGAATTTTTTAAAACTTTCCTTTTAACACCTTCGGTTCCACTCTCACTTGCGGAGGTTAACTCTTCCTCACCATCATCTTCCTGATAACTGCTATGACTTGTTTCTGTCTGCTCTTCGTCACTGTTTGTGTCTGAATTCTCATGAGACAAAACATCTCTTGCTTTGGAAGCAATTTCCAGGTTACCGTGGGTGTCCGAAAAAAATTGGATTTATGATTTTGTACCGCTCACGCTCTTCAACTGGTGACTTACCACTACCTTTCTTGATGCGATCCGTGTATTTACGCCATTGATCTTTTATCCACTTAAATTTCACCCGAAGC